GGGCGGTGGTGGGGTAAGGGGAGAGAAATGACCCAAACATTGTATGCACATATGAATTTTAAAAAAAAAAAGCACCTGCCTAGCAAGCTTAAGGTCCTGAGTTCAAAGCCCAGTATTGCCTTCCAAAAAAAGTAAGAGGATGCTCCTGTCTTTTGTGGAGGGATATAGTAGATAACACTCTAAGAACCCCAGTAGATGCCTGAAACCAAACCATATATATATATATATATATATACACTGCTTTTTTTTTTTACTGTACATATGTATCTATAATAAAGTTTAACTTATAAATTAGACACAAAGAGTTTAGCAATAACTAATGATAAAATAAAATTATAACAATATACTATAATACCAGTGATATGAATGTGATCTACCTCTCAAAATATCTTACTGCACTATGCTCACCCCTCTTGTGATGATGTGACATGACACACGCCTAAGTGATGAGTGAGGTATGTTTTGGTCAAGCATTATGACATAGCAGTAAGGTACTTGAACATAAGCACGCAATACCACAGCAGTAAATTGATATCTGAGAGGACTACTAAATGACTAAGGAGCAGGTAGCATATCCAGCTGATATGCTGGACAAAGGGATGACTGATATCCCAAACTGACCAGGGCAAGATTTCATCACACCAATCAAAACAGTGTGCAATTTAAAACTCATGAATTATTTCTGGAATTTCCATTTAATATTTTCAGACTTTGCTTTGGTTGACTTCAGGTAGCTGAAACCACTAAAAGCATAACTGTGGACATGAGGGGACTACTGTAGTCAGGAATTTCTAAGAGTCCTACAAGTTCTATGCAAAGAACCAGGGACAACGACTACATATGTATCTCTTACATATCACATCCAGCAATTCTACTCCTAGGTATGCACTCAAGAGAAAAGAAAACATATCCACACCAAAACTTGTACATTAATATTGACATCAGCATTACACAGAATATCCAAAAGTAGAAACACATGAATTAGCCAAAAAGTAGAAATAACTTAAATGTTCATCAACTGATGAATGGATAAACAGAATGTACAGGCTGAGTAGCCCTTATCCAAAATACTTAGGTCCAAAAGTGTTTCAGATTTTGGAATATTTGCATAGACTTTAAAGGATGGGTATCCTTAACCTGAAAATCTAAAATCCAAAATGTTCCAAAATCCTAAACTTTTTGGAGCATTCTAGATTTTGGATGTTTTAAGAATGTTCAATCTGTATCTACAGACAATGAAAAAGAAGTACTGATACACTATAATATGGATGGTCCATGAAATCCTTACACTAAGTGAAATTAGTCAGTTACAAAAGATCACAGATAGGATTTCATTCATTGGAAATGTCCAGAATAAGCAAATCAACAGTGACAGAAAGTAGATTAGCAGGCAGGTGGAATAGTGAGTGACTGCTGATAGGTAGAGACATCTTTAGGGAACTATGCTACAAACTGATTGATACTCACACAACTCTGGATTCACTTAAAGTCATTGAATTGTATACACCCTTTGTATGACCTATATTTCAATAAACATTGGTTTTGGTTTTTTTGAAACAAGGTCTTGATATGTAGCCCAGGTTGGCCTCAATTTTTGCTCCTCCTACCTCAGCTTTCCAAGTTCTGAAATTACAGGTGCATACCACCAGGCCCAGTCTAAGAGGTTTTTTGTTTTATTTAAAAAAAAAAAGGTGAGGGGGCTAGTAGAGTGGCTCAAGTGGTAGAGTGCCTGCCTGGCAAGCATGAGTTCAAACCCTAGAATCACACACACAAAAAAAAAACCAGGTTAAAATCTTTGCCATGTTAAAAATCCCTCCTTCAACTATTTATCACCTTCTGCTACCACCTCTATCTTCCCTTCACAGCTAAGATGCACATCTGCAATACCAGCATTTAAGAGGCTGAGGCAGGATGATCATGAGTTCGAGTCCAGGTTGGACTTTAGGGAGAGACCCTGTCTCAAAAAAACCTAAAGAAAAAAAGAAGGAAGGGAGGGGGAGAGAGAGGAAGCATCTACATTTGCATTCTCTACTCTCTGACCTCTAATTAATTCAATGAATATGGAGCTTTTTCCCAAACCACTCTACCAAAACCGTTCTCATGTAGTTCTCAAACTCAGTAACCTCTGTGTTATCAAGTTCAATAGACTCCTAATAATCCTTGTTTCTCCCAACTACGCAAAACATTTAAATAGGGCTTTCCTTTTATTTGAATCAATATTTTTTTCTGGAAAGTTGTGAATTATAGCCTCCTTTAAAAATGACCCCATTTTGAGGCTACAAATGTAGCTCAGTGGTAGAGCACTTGCTTAGTATGCATGAAGCCCTGGGTTCAATCCTTAGCACCACAAAAACTATTTTGACTTTTTTGACATTTTCTCATGATTCCTCTACATCTCTAAACTCTTTGTCCTACGAATTCTACTTTCTAAATATTTCTGCTACTAATGTACTTCTCTGTATCCTGACACTGTGTTAGTTTAGACCCTTATCTCTTATCTCAGTTATTGCAAAAACCTCTTAAAGTCTGTTTCCCATCTTACCTAACCTCCAAACCTTTTGACTATCCATACATTGCAATTCTAGAGTAATCGTTCTAAAATGAAAGCATTATGATGTCTTTCCTGATTAAAATCCATAAACTATTAGTACCTACAGGAAAACCTCATTGTGCAGCCTCATCCTCTGCTACTTACCATCACACCAATGTTGTAACTATAGAAAACAACTTTCCATTCTTAAAAGTGTTCATGCTTGGTCTCTGTCACCTACATGTCTCTGTCCAACTTTCCTACAATCTTAAGTTCCTTTTTTCCCCAATTTCTGCTTCAGTCATGCTTATCCTTCTTGAAGCTTAAGGACATAAAATATATAATGCTTACCATATAGCAGGGATCAAAAAGAGATTGGGAATTGGCTTAAGTCTCTCTCTCTCTTTAATTTTTGGTGGTACTGGAGATTGAACTCAGGGCCTCACACTTGCCAGGCAGGCACTCTTCCACTTGAGCCACTCTGCCATCAGGTCTCTCTTTTTTGTCCTGCCTCAATGACTCCTCCTTATAAGATAAAGGTGAAATCACTTCGATGGTGTATACAAGACTATCCCTGCCCACAATGTAGTCTATGCTTACCTCCCCAGTTTCATATCTCACCACAACCCTGGCTATCTTTGCAGATCTTACTATATAGTTTTACTTGCTATTCCTCACAGTTCCCTCTACCTAAATGCCCATGCTATTTCTATGCCTAGCATGCAGGTAGGTTAAGTAGATAATACATATAGACTGACAGATATAGATGTAGATCATGTTGACAGTTCAAGTAAGAGATAAAATTTGGCCACCTGAAAGCAGTGGTCTTATCTATCTTCAAGTCCTCTCTTCCTGGCATAGAATATGCTGCACAGTAATTCCTGTATTCTAAAAATTCTGCATTTTTCCCCTGTTTCATTTTTTATATACTAACATGAGCTTCTGCTGGGAATTTTCTTTTCAGAAAAAAATAACATACTTTCAAGTAATGTTCTGGACCTAACTGCTCCTTGCCAAGCAAAGAACTGTGCAAATAAAACTAGAATTAATATGCACTTTGTGATATCACTTCTATTTTTCTGAATTAGAAGGGAAATGGTCCTTGTAGATCTATAATATGAAATCGGGGTGGGGAAGTAACTGGGGTTTGAACTCAAAGCCTTATGCTTGCTAGGTAGGTGCTCTACCACTTGAGCACTCTGCCACTTCTATAAGATTTTAAAGAGATAGTAAATTAGACTATTCTATATTATTTCTGAATGCTTTCTTTTAAAAATTACTTAGCAGTTACTATTAAACTAGCCTACCCCTCTCGGGTCTATGGGACACTGAATGAAAAGTGGGAACCACTCTACTGACTTCCTTCCTATCCCCACTAAGGCTCACAGTAATCACTCATTTTCAGGAAGAAATTATCAAAAAAGACAATTGTTAAGAAGGAAGTAATGTAACCTTTCTCAGTAAGTCTCCTTTCTTCTTTTAGAAGCACTAACTGAACACCAAACCAAAAGTGTGCCTATTCCTTACCACCACTTAAATATTTTGTGAATATCTGCCAAGCGTGATAGAACGCCACCCCAAATACTGTAGCATTAAAATACATCCACTCCTTAAACAAAAAATTCAGTGAAAGCTTCTCACTGGGCTGGGTGGGGTGGCAACCCCACGTCCAAAAGGCGTACTTCTGTTACATGCACATTCAAAGTGCCTCCAACTAAAATTTTAGTGACCCTCAAGAACGCCACTAGGCCTTAGGGCAAACGTGCTGCGCGCTCAAGAAGGACGCTCTGTAATAGTGAATCACAAAAGTTCGACCAGCATAATTACTTCGGGGAAGCCTGAGGTGTGGAATATTTGGTCAAACCTGCTTCACAACGATAAAAGTAAAAGAAAAAGAAAAGAAGAAAACTGACCGCAATTAAGAGCACTTTGGCAGTTACACACTCGAAAAGGAGTTTAGAAAGGAATTCACGCCAAATCTGTCAGTGCATTCCCACAAAAACCTGCGCCCGAGGACGCCCCCTCCCCTGCTTGGTGCCAGCCGTGGGCACTCAGGAGTGGCCCCCAGTAACAGGGCACGCGCGGGGACAGGTCGGCTCCCGGACGACTCTCGGCAGCAAAGCTGTACGAAGGGCGGTCCTCTCTCCACCGTCCAGGTGTGCACCGCAGAGCTCCCCGCGGCCTGAAGGCTCGCCCTGCCCCGAGCAGCACACCACCATGCGGGGGCTCAGGCAGGCCTGGCGGGCAAGCAGGGGAACGGACCCCAAAAGGACCTACCCCGGGGTGAAGCCTTCCCAGAGAACCGACAGCAGGCAGCCACGCCCCCCACCCCCAACTCCGAGCCCTGGCAGACGAGCGCCGAGCCCCGCTCGCTGCCTGACAGACGCGGGCGCGAGGCGGGCGGGAGGGGTCCGCAGGCACGGAAGGGAATCGCCGCGACCCCTCAACACGACCGCTCCCAGCAACTGACCTGTGCCTGCCGCCGCGCGACCACCAGCCCTACCACAGCCACCGCCTCCTCGCGCTCACGCTGCAGCCGCAGCCCCGTTCGCCGCCTCCTGCACTGCGCCCCTGACCGGCCTTGGGCGCCCCATTCCCACCCCGCCTAGCCTCCGCCTGTTTACAATGATTGGGACAGACCTGGACGAGCTGGCTCAATGCGCACGCGCACTCCCTCCTCCCGCCGCTGCCGGCTTCCCGGGTCCTCAGCTCTCGGCTCTGACAGGCCGTCGGAGGGCAAACGGCCTGTGCCCTCGCGCGAGGCACGCCGGGAGTTGTAGTTCTTCGAAACCCAGCGGCCAGATGCCCGAGACCTTGTGGACCGGAAACAAACTACAACACCCAGAAAGCATCGTGTCTCCCGGCCCGGGCTCGCTGAGAAACAGGGAACGCGCGAGAGGACGCGCCAAACGCTAGTGCTCTGCAGGCGCCTGCGCGGTGCCTGGTCTTCGGAGACTGGGTGGGACGCACACCTACCAGAAGTGAATCCTGGTGAGAAAGGTCTGGGTACGGCTCCTGCAGTGGTGTGCAGGAGAGAAGGAGCTTTCTCTTGCGCCGTGGCCGCCCTGGCCGCCCTGGCAGCATCTGCGACGCTGACACCTTTTCTTAATCCAGCACGCTTCCAACGTTGCGACCAGTCTGACCAGCCCGGGCGGCAGGCCCTGCCTGCCACTGGTTGGGGAACTTTCCTTGCCGTGGCTGGGTGGGGACCTTTTGCTTGGGGTGGGACTTGACTCGGAGGTTCTTTCGGAGAAAGGACGCGCCTGGGCCTGTAGAGAAAGACTTGTTTAAAACTGTGTGGGGACAGTCCACAGGGTTCCTAAAGTGGGTGTTGATGTTCAGGGGCTGAAGCCTTTCGCCGCTCCTTTGGCCCAGTGTTTACAAACCACGCCTGGATTAAGACTTCCCAGCTGCATATGTAGCAGGCGGTGGAAACAACTGAAACCTCCAGAATTCCTGCACAAAGGATAATGCAACACTGAAAGCTGGAGACCAGCGGTCTTTTGATGTCTTCTGGTTTTATAAACTTTGGCAGTGTGTTAGAGGAAAAATAAGATCTCGAACAGATGGTTCTTCAAACCATTTCCATTCCCAAGTAAACCTCAGTCTAGAACTTCATTACCTATTTAGGTTGAGCGCTGCAGTCTAGCTTGCTCTATGCTCCCAGGCCAGCTTTCCTCAAATATGATTAAATCCATCCTTTGAACTAAATCAGCCTCCTCCTCAACTGCCCACAGCTGGACACCGAGATCGCGAAAGAACCTTCCCATTGTCCCTCTGACAACAGAACAGTCTCCATGAGTGACCACCAGATGGCCTTGTGAATGTGCCAGTTACAACTCTGCCTTTAGCCAAGGAATTGACACTGACCCGAGATGGGCACGATGGAGTCCTTGCCTGAAATTGCAGTAAGACGCAGAGAAGTGGTAGAAGGGGAGATTTTTACTGAAGTAGTTGCTGATGATCATACTTCTTGTAACATGGAGTGGCCGGCCAGTCAATGGTGGGAACGAATGAAGTCAAATGAGGAGAGGGGGAGGACACAGAAAAAGCAAGAGCTGGCACAATGGGACAGATTTAAATCTGCGGCCATGGTTTGTGCAGCTTTGTGTGTGTGTGTGTGTGTGTGTGTGTGTGTGTGTGTATGAGATACTGTGTTTGAACTCAGGGCCTACACCTTGAGCCACTCCACCAGCCCTTTTTTGTGATGGTTTTTTTCAAAATAGGGTTTTTCAAACTATTTGCCCTGGCTGGCTTTGAACCACGATTCTCCTGATTTCTGCCTCCTGAGTAGCTTGGATTACAGGAGAGAGCCACACCTGGCTAAAGGTGTTTGAAGCTGTTTTTTTGATTTTGGGTTTTTTTTTTTTTTTGGTTGCACTGAGGTTTGAACTCAAGGCTTCAAAATTGCTAGGCAGGCACACCACCAGCTGTGCAGCTCTTCTTAAATGCTGCTAGTATGATGAAATCCACACATTATGTGCATACATTTGTTTATGCTAATGGAGGTGTGGATGTAGAGCACATTTGTTAGCTGCCTCCTCAGTATTCTTTCCTCCTGTTTAAGCCTTGCAGCATAACCATTACCTCTGTCAACAGTTTCAGAGATGTTCATCCTATTACCCAGCCAGAATCAATGACCCCACAAGGACCTGATTATTATACTGCAGTTTCCTTGCTTTTGTGGTACAGTGTAAGTATAAGAGGTGTGCAATTTTAGTAACCATTTTGCTTCTATCAGGGATGAGAGTTCTGAGAATGAAGTCAGCGTGTCAAATGCTGGAGAATAGCAATGTTTAGTGCACTATTGTTTAGTGAAATATCAAACCTCACCTGTCTTTACCATAGACTATCCTATCCTATAGACTGTGTAGAACTGTGAACCATACATTTCCTGTGTTATTTAAGCCAGTTAGTAATAAAGAGTCCTAATCACTTGGGTTTCTTTATTTACATAATACTGAAAGGTCCTGACTAACACAGGTTCCTGTTTAAAAACAAACTGCAGCTCGAGGTCCTGGGTTCAATTCCCAGCATGTATGACATGGTAAGTAATTCTCTGCACACCAAACAAGTATTAAACTGTAGAAAACTAACTAAAACCACATTGGAGTACAACCAAATAAGAAAACAATTTGAGAAACACCTATTCTTGAAAAACTTCTTGAACTCCCAAGAAGGAATCGTCAATGTAGCCTTCTTGCCTAAGGTTGCTTCTCTCACGTCCTGTTGCCCCAACTGTACTTTCACCAGTGTGAGTAGGACTAGCCATGAAAACTGGAACTTTGCTGCCAAAGGAATGGACTCAATTTGTGGTGAAGTCAAAAACCCAGGGTTTAACTGAGTGCTGGTGGCACATGCCTGTCATTCCAAGCTATGTAGGAGGCTAAGTTCTGGAGCATTGTAGTTTCAGGCCAGCCTGTGAGACCCCCATCTCAGCGAGTCATCCCAGCTACAGAAGGAAACTTAAAATAGGATTGAGGTCCTGGCTAGCCTGGGTAAAAAGACCCTATTTTCAAAGTAACCAGAGGAAAAGGGAGCTGGAGATGTAACTCAAGCTGTAGCGTCCCTATCTGATGAGCACAAAGCCTTGAGCTCAATCCCCAGTACAGCCCAAAAAGTAAGACTCAGCTAAAAGTGACAAATTCCTGGGAATGATCAGGAAAATCCATGGCTTTGCTTAACAAAGGTTCCAGTCCCTAGTGGAGCAAATGGCAAGTCAGCAATAAATGTAAGAGGGGATTTTAGAAATAAGAGTGTTCCTGAAGGGCTAAGAATGGCTGGATCCCAGGAGTTCAAGAGCAGCCTGAGCAACATAGCCAGACCTTGTATCAAAAAGAAAGAAAGAAAGAAGGAAAGAAAAAGGTGTTGGTAGGTGAATACTTAAGTATTATTGAAAGTAGGGCAACATGTAAATATGTTCTTATAATTATTATAGTAAATATTTTACAAGAGAATGTTACAACTTGGTGCATAACAATCATAAATCCATATCAGTAATATTTGTCTAATTAAAGTACTATTTGACATTAAAAAATAATAGGAAAGACCCTGTGTGGTGGCTCACACCTGTTATTCTGGTGAAGATCAGGAGGATTGCAATTCAAGGCCAGCATGGACAAAAAGTTGACAGGACATCATCTCAATGAAAAAAGATTGAACATGGTGGTACACACCTATCATCCCAGCTAAGCAGGAGGAGGTCCAAGCAGGCACTGGCAAGAAAAGCAAGATCCTAACTGAAAAATAAGTTAATCGAAAATGGCTGAGGATGTGGTTCAACTGGTAGAGCATTTGTCTGGCAAGCATAAGGCCCTGAGTTCAAGTCCCAGTGACACCAAAAGTAAATGAGAGAACAGCCTTAGAGATTCTAACATACATGAAATGAGAACCCCAGAAGGAGAAGAGAGAGAGACCAACATTTTTTGAGTTTATAATACTAAAAATTCAATTTTTTATTTTTAAAAAAGATCTACAAATACAAGATGTTCAAATGCATCCAAAGTAAAATTAACATAAGGAGAACCACAGCTGGATGCAGTATTCTCAAACTGATGAAAACCAGCGATAAAAAGGAACCTTGAAAATGGCAAAAGGAAAATGATTCATAAGTGCAGGGGGAAGAAAGCAATGGATTATATAGCTGAGTTCTCATCAGCAATACTAGAGGCCAGAAGGCAGCAGGATGACATATCTAATGTGCTAACAGGGTTGAAAAAACTGGGTGTGGTGATGCATGCCTGTAATCCCAGCTACGTGGACGCTGAGGTGGGAGTTCAAGAGCAGCTTGGGCAACAAAGTAAGACCCTGCCTCAAAAAAATAAAAAACACAAAAATTGTTGACCAAGAATTCTGTATCCAATGAAGGCTAACCTTAAAAAATGAAGGTGAAATTAATTACAGAGCTGGATGGTCTGAGACAATCTGTTGCTATAAACCTGCGCTCTAAGAAACTGAAGGAAGTTCTTCAGGATAAAAGTAAATGACAAGGCACAGTAACTCTCATAGGCAGGAAGGAATGAAGATGAAGAATTTTTTTATGTGTGGAAAATATATAAAAAAAAAACTATACACACAGCATATACAGTTTTCTTCCCTCTACCCTTAAAAACAAGATTAAAGCAATAATTATCACATTGTATTATTGGTACTAGAACATATGTAATGTAATATACATATTACATAATTTATAATATACATATGCATAATTTATAATAAACAGGAATTTATTTTCACAGTTCTGGAAGCTGAGAAGTCCAAGATTCAAGGCACCAACATCTGTAAGGTCCTTCTTGTATCATCACATGGTGGAAGACAAAAGGGCAAGAGAAAAGAAAGACCCCTCCTCCCTTTTGATCTCAAGCTCTTTCATAAAGGCCCTCATGACTTAACTACTTCTTAATACTGTCATGTTGGCAATTAGCTTTTTTTTTTGCAGTACTAGGGTCTGAGCTCAGGGCCTATACCTTGAGTACTGTTTTTGTGTGGAATGTTTTCTATATAGGCTTTTGTGAACTATTTGCCCAAGCTGGCTTTGAACCATGATCCTCCTGATCTCTGCCTCCTCAGTGGCTAGGATTACAGGTGTGAGCCACTGGGGCCCAGCAGTGATTAGCTTTTAACCTCTGAATTTTGGAGGGGGCACAAGCGTTCAGATCATAGTATTCCTTCTAGCAACCAGTGAATTCTCAAAAAAATGTTAAGTAAAATTA